CCCCCCCAGGCCACCCCCAAACTGGACTCTTGTCTGGAATGCATTCCAGGGAACCCAGGCGTCCGGCTCTGCCCCCCTCCCCCTGGCCTGTCTTCGGCCATGGCAATGATTCGTCTCTGTCTTTCCCAACAGTCGCCCCCTGGACCGCCCTGGGGCACCGCGCCGACCGGACCCACGCGCCCGCCGCCCATCTCGTAGGTGAGTCGCTGGACTTGGGGGACGCTCCCTCCGCTGCTCTACGCCCCAAGAGGGCCCCTCTCCGCCGCCCTCTGCTGGCGGAGGCCGGAATCGGGCCGCCCTGCGGGTGCCGGTTAAAACAGTGGTAGAAACAATGTTTCCCCCCCTCAATGTCTGTTTTTTCTCGGCCGTTTGCGTCCCGATCCGCCCGCCAGGTGGGTGAACCCTTCGGCCGCTGGTTTGAAACCCACCTCCCCTTTCTCTCCCCTCTCCTCACAGGGCACCCCGGCCCCTCCGGCGAGCGGCTCCGCTGGCGAAGCGACGTCGACGCCTCCTTCACCCGGGGCGGCTTCCGCCTGGCCAACGACTCGCTGGTGGTGCCGGCCTCCGGCATGTATTTCGTCTACTTCCAGGCGTCCTTCCTGGGGGCCGCCTGCCCCGTGGGGGACGAGCCCCTGGTCCTGGCGCACCGCGTGCTGCTCTTCTCCGACACCTACCCCCGAGACGTCCCCATCCTGAGCGCCCACAAAACGGCCTGCTCCGGGGGGGGGCCCTGGTACCGCTCCCTCCACCAGGGGGCAGCGTTTGCCCTGCAGGAGGGGGACCGGCTGTCCACGCAGACGGAGGGGGAGGCGCATCTGCTGTCCGGCCAGGGCACCTTGTCATTCGGGGCGTTTGCCCTGTGACGCGCCTGCTGGGTTTTGGGGTGGGGTCCCCCTTATGCGCTGAGGGTGGGCTGGAGCTGCTGGGGGCGTCTTTGGAGGGTTTCACTTTGCTGTACCCCAAAATGATTAGTGTGCACTTATTGATGGGGCACCCCTGGGATCAGTGTTCTGCAATGTGGGGTTGGAGGTGTAAGAACAGCCATGGGGGTTTAAGAGGATCCTCAAAATATTGTGGGGGTTCCAGTTAATGTACCCCCAAACTTTCTGCACACACACACACACCCCATTTAATGCTCTTGGTGCACTAGGATTTGGGGGGATTTTAATAGCAGTTCTATTAATGGGGAATCCTCAGAATATTTGGGGGGTCAGCTGTACCCCTAAATTATCGGGGTGTCCCTCAATTTTAGTTTATAGGCTGTTCTGCCATCTGGGGGTGACTGTATTAACCCCACCCCCAGTAGAAGGGGGAAGCAGCTGAGTTTTTGAAGGGGTTCAGGATTAGACACCCCAACTTTATTGGGGTCCTTTTTGATTTAATTAAGCGGTGTAGCTGAGATTTGGGGTGTAGGTGAGATTTGGGGGGACTCAGGATAGTTTCTTGCAGCTGTTCCCCTTCAAAAGTGGGGCCACAGTGACACTAATTGAGTGAAAACACAGACAAATTTTGGGGGGGGTTCTGGGAATAGACACCAAATTATAGGGGTGCCCCTTGCTAGGTGATCATAATGTCCTCCTGGATTTGGGGTGTGTGGGTGAATGCAACACGCCCACACATTGTTAGAGAGAGAAATCTGGGGTACAGCTTCTTCGGCCCCCCCCAGCACCCCCAAAAACGTGTTTTCACCCAAGGCTCTCCCTCTTGGAGCTGGGGCAGCCCCACTGACAGGAGACCTGCCTGAGAGTTTTCAGGGGGCAGGTGACCCCCCCAAAGTTACTGGGGTACATCTCTCTGTTCCAGGGGGTGCCCAAGTCTAGGCCCCACCCCCAGCTGAGGGGCTGTGGATCGGGAAAATGGGGGACGAGGCGGGGGGCGGGGGAGGCAGTGCTATTTATTTATGGGAATGTGTTGTAAATTATTTATTTATGATGGGGGGCAGCTCGGCCCCCCACGAATGTATTTATTTATGTCAATGAATTAAAGCTGGACTCGCGACTGGGCTCTGTGGTGTTTTCATCTCATTTCTCTGTGCCCCAAAGGTTCAAATCCCCTCCCCCACTCGTACCCCACAAATGGTGAGGGGATTGGGGGAGATTGAGGGGAGGGGCTTGTAAAGGGGGGGTGGATCTGACTGGCTCAGCTGGGACACACCTCCCAACTGGGCGGGGCTCCCTAAGGTTAGGACACACCCCCTAAATGGGAGGGAGGGGCTCCCTGACTAGGGCAGCCCCCCCAAAAGGGGGCAGGGCTCCCCTGGGCTGAGACAGCCCCCAGGTCTGACAAGATCAAGGTCATCCTAACGGACAGCGCTTTAGTTTGGCACACCCCCGCCCCGGACGCCTGGGTTCGCCACCCCGCCGTGCCTCAGTTTCCCCACTGGTGCAACAACACCGACCTCCTCAGCAAGGTGCTGAAGGCAGGCATAAGAACATCAGAGCAGCCAGACTGGGTCAGACCAAAGGTCCGTCTAGCCCAGTGTCCTGTCTCTGACAGCGGCCAATGCCAGGTGCCCCAGCGGGAATGAACCGAACAGGGCAGTTATGGAATGATCCATCTCTTGTCGTCCAGTCCCAGCGTCTGGCAAACAGAGGCCGGGGCCACCATCCCTGCCCAGCCTGGCTAATAGCCATTGATGGACCGATCCGCCATGAACTTATCTAGTTCTTTTTTGAACCCTGGTCTAGTCTTGGCCTTCACAACATCCTGTGGCAAGGAGTTCCACAGGTTAACGGTGCATTGTGTAAAGAAATATGTCCTTTCATTGGTGTTAAACCTGCTGCCCGTTAATCTCATTGGGTGACCCCTAGTTCGTGCATCATGAGGAGTAAATAACACTCTCCTCCGCCCCGGCGCCCCCTTCTGGCTGAGTCTGGGCATGAGCTCTCAGGTGCCCTTTCCCGGCACTACCCCCCGCCCCCGGGACTCAGAGGGGGTCCCTCTTTGTGACTCTCCCCACCCCCGGCAGATCACTGTATCATACCCCCTTCTGGGGTCTCAAAGCCCCACCAGACCCACTGGGGCCCGGCCCCCTTCCTGTCCCGGCCCAGCGCGAGGGCCCCCCCTCGGGTTTGACCACCCCAAGCATTCTTCGCCCCCCAGGGCAGCAACTGATGCCCCTCGGCTTCCCGCCAGGCTCCGTAATCCAGGGGGGGATCCCAGGGCTGCCTCTCCCCCTCCGGAGCACCCCCTCGTGCTCCCCATCTGCAGGGTGTGACAGCAGCTCCCCTCCCGCCAGCCCCATCGTCTTTCTTTCTCTCTCTCTCTCGGTCTCGGGAGCGAATCTCGCCGGGGGCTCTTTGGAAACCTCCCCGGGGTTTTTACGGCGTTTTCCGCTTTCAGTTCCTGGCCCGGGCTCCGGCGCTGGCACGGGGCCAGTTTTGGCTGGACGCGTTCCCAGAGGTTTCATCCCCCGCCGTGCTCTCCTGGAATGGCCAGAGACGCCCGGACCATCCCGAGGCAGGGCTGGCAACCCCAGCAGTGCCAGACGCCCGCCCCTTGCCCGGTCGGCCCTGTCGAGCGCACCGGCTCGTCCAAGGACCCGTCCTACTCGCTGAACCTCCCTCACCCGAGCGGGCAGCCGGTGTCGCTGCGGCCAACTTGTGCGCTGGCTTCCTGGCTTTGTCTCTGCCCGGCCCCTGGTTCTCCCCCCGGGAGCGGCCGCTCGGGGTGACTGGCCCTGGGGTGGGGATCGCGGGGGGGCCCGGTGGACGGGGCTGTCTAGGCCTTGGCCAACCTGCCGCCCGTCCCCCGCAGCCGGAGCACCAGTGGGGGGTGCTGGCCCCGAGCGGCTGCAAACCCAGCCCCGGGACCCAGGGGGTATCGACCCCCAGGCTTCCCTCCCTGCCCCAGGCTCCACACCACCCAGGCCTCTGCTCGCCAGCAGCTTCGTGGGACCCCCGGGTGGGGGGATGTGCCAGGGCCTAGGGCACATGCCAGCCAAGTGTGTTCTCCATGGAGGCGAAGGGGTCACCTCAGAGCCTGGCCAGAGCCAGAGGGGGAGGGATGGGGGGACAGCGGGGTGAGGGATGGATGGATGGATGGAGGAGTGTGGGGGGTGAGTGGATGGAGGGACAGAGGGACAG